GGAAAGAGGATCCTGGCCAGAGCCAGGACCCCTGGGTTTGGAGTTGGGAGCCTGGTGTGCAGGAACAGGATGCAGGGCTGGAGGTACCGTGGCCAAACTGCACTTTAGGGCGGAATGTGGTCCTGCCACTCAAATAACGCTGATAAAAATGAATTGTGGACAAAGCTACTTCTGTAACACTTTCTAAAGAAGAGTTACATTTCCCAATGCTGGGCAGGGTGCCATCAGAGGCAGCTGAATGAAGCCTAGCAACCCATGGGCTGCAATTATTTTCTTCTTATTATTATTATTATTTTTTTGAAAATGGAGAGTATTAAATATGGCATTGGCTGTGTTATACAAGTTTTCTTGTATCCTAACTCTCTTAACACTAAAAACCTGAAGGCATTTCTTGCATGGCATTATTGTGGGTCCCTCTGTGCCTTGTTGGTAGTGGTGGTTGAGATGTAGCTCACTGGACATGAAAACCAGCTACATTCCAAGTGTCTCTGGTGAAAGGTGGTATTCCCTGTGCACCCAGTTTGAAAATGAGGTTGTCATGAGAAGCAACCTGCTGCTCATCTCCCATGTCTGGTCCAAGATGGTTTTGTCTCTTTTGGAGGGAAATTTCTGCTCCAGAATCCACCTGAGTCTCCTCCCAGGCATCTCCTGAAGTGTTTTCCCATCTCCTCTTAGGAGCTGAGATTCCCAGGTAGGAGCACCAGACTCCTCCAAGGAAGGCACCCAAGATGGTTTTTCTCTTTTCATGAAACCTTCTGTGTTCTGGCACAAGGATATAAAAGAGATAAAACTGGGAGGCAAGTGTTTATTGCTCTGAGCAGTAGGAATCATTGGAAGCATCCAATTTGTTCTAACTGGTCACTCAGTATCTCCTTGAAGATGATGACTTTTAGTTACTGCTGGATTTGTATTAACAGGCCACTTTTTCTAGCTCCAGATTCTCAGTGGACTTGCAGTTAAGGTGCTCTGCTCTAGTATTGCCAACAGTGAATGTCAAAATTTAGGTAAGACCCCCTCAAAAAAACAAAACAAACCAAACAGACAAACAAACAAAAAACCAAAACAAACAAAACAAAAAACCAAAACAAAAAACCAAACCAAAACAAAAAAAACTCCACCACACATAAATTAAAATTATATTACATAAAAAGTTTGGAAGGTTTCTGAGATTTTACAGGTATAGAAGCCATTCTGGCATGAGTCCTGCCAACATATTTCTTGCAGAGTTGAGGTTTTCTTCTCAGCTCGTGGCTCTCAGGAAATAAGAGGGTGTGATGAGATTCATAATAAATTGTACAAGCTGGCAGTGCCATCCATGAAAAAGTAACACCTTCCTGGGATCTTGGCAGGAGGTTGTGTTTCTTTCCACTGGGTCCTTCCCAGTTAGCAAACATTTGTTCTCCATGTTTGCTCAGAGCCAGAGATCCCACAGCTGCTTTGGGGTCTGTCCCAACTTGCTGCCTGCATTTATTTTTCTTACTCATTTTCATCTTGCTAACATGGGATCTATGTGACCTCTCGGCACATTTACAGGTTTGAAAATAATGTTGTAGTGCAAAAATAACAAACCAGAGAGAGTTTGGCTCCTCTGGAAAAGATATAGTAAAAGAATTATATTTTTAAGTAAATTCTCCGTGAAAAACTACATTTCAGGGGGTGTTTTCTGCCCTTTTATCTTTTGCTTGGACCCAAAATACACAGTAGCATGTCCCACGGAGAGGTGCAGTTGTGGAGGCACAGCTTGGTATCCATTAACCCTGATGTCCTTTGGACTCTCCCTCTAAATGGGGTTGGCAGCATCCATGTGCTTGTCCATTGGTGCCAGGAAAAGTCACCTCCTGTGGCACGAGATGGGGTCTTGCCTGTTCTTTGGCTTGGAGTTTGTCACCTGCAGAGAAGGGCATTTGATGGTGTTCATTTGACTTCATTGCCAGAATTCATGTGAATTTGGGCACTTTGCTCTGAGGGTCCCTTTCCCTTTCCCTTTCCCTTTCCCTTTCCCTTTCCCTTTCCCTTTCCCTTTCCCTTTCCCTTTCCCTTTCCCTTTCCCTTTCCCTTCCTTTTCCCCTTCCCCTTTTCCTCTTTCCCCTTCCCCATTCCCCATTTCCCCTTCCTTTCTGCCTTTCCCCTTCCCTTTTCTCTTCCCCTTCCCCTCCCCTTTTCCCCTTTCCCCTTTCCCTTCCCTTTTTCCTTCCCTCCTCAAATTCGTGCTCATTTCATGCAGGAGAGGGTGAGAATCAGCCACAGCCACTGATTTGTTTAATGGGCTGCCTCTATGAGCCAAAGAATAATAAAATTAAGTCATTACATCAGAGCAAAAGGGTGATTAAGACAACTGCACAAGAGTATTTCCCTTTCAAATTAGGGCTTGAAAGTGATACCTGCCACCTCACATGTGCACACTGTTCAGTGCAGGTTGGATCAGTTTTGGGGGTACGGAGGGTGAAGAATGTCTGCACCAAGTCTGAAGCCAAAGGAGAAAGAGAGGAAGTGTTCATAACCAAAGGGAAATATTAAAATGTCTGTTTCTACCGTAAATCTACCTGGAATGATGGGGTTGATTGTTTTGAAGTGCATTCTGTAGCAAAACAATAATGAGAAGAGGGAGAGCACATTACTTATCTGCTCTACCTGGCTGGTGTATAACAGGCAAACATCTAATTGAAAAAAACATCCTGATGGGAGAATTTCTAATAAATTTGTTTTCACCCCCATAGCCTGGAGGAGAGGGGAAAAAAATCCAATCAGCAGTGGGGAAGTTCCAAAGTTTCCATTGCATTTCGAGTCTTGATTTTCAGGCTCGTTGCTCAGCCTGGCAATCAGAGGAACAGTAATTCTGAAGGCAGGATTCATTACAATTGTTATGAAGGCATCAAAGGCAGAAGGAAGCATGGAGTGGAGGTAGGGGAATAGTAGAAAGCCATAAAAAAAAATACCTTCTGACAAACAGAAGGATACGGAGAAAGAGGGTGCTTGTCCTGCCCTGGACCTCCCCTGTGAAGGATATTTTTTGCTTGCCAAATCTAACTCTCCGGGTGACTTATGTTTTCTGGAGAAATAGGTTGTAGCCGGGTGGGAGTCGGTCTCTTCTCCCAAGAAACAAGTGACAGGAAGAGAGAAAACTGATCCAAGTTGTGCCAGGGGAGGTTTGGATTGGACATCAGGCAGAGTTTCTCCACGGGAAGGGTGGCCAGGCTGCTCAGAGTCCCCATCCCTGGAGGGATTTAAAAGCTGTGTAAATGTGGCACTTGAGGACATGGTTTAGAGGTGGCCTTGGCAGTGCTGGGTTAATAGTTGGACTTGATGGTCTTTGAGGGCTTTCCCAACCTCAGTAGTTCTGTGATTCTCTCTCCACTGACCTGTGCCACCTCTTCTTCCAATTCAGCCACGTCTGCTGGGGTTGGTCGGGTTGTCAGAGGGTACAGAGCTGGTTGTGGGCTGTAGAGCTGGTTGAGCCAGCTGGAACTGCACTGGCAGGAGCTGGCTGGGCCAGTGATCATTTAACAGGTGGAGGGACATTCAGTTAAAAGTGGGTGGCACCTGGCTGCCTTCTGGGAGAGCTGTGAGCCCATGGTGCTGCTGATAGTCGCTGCATCCCACAGCTCCTGACAGATTTAACAGAATCCAGCATTTGCACAGGGATCCCTTCCCACCCTGCTGCAGCTGCTGCTGGCATTACTTAATGAGTGTCACAATACCTGCTCCAATTTTGCAGCTTTCAGTTGGTTTGCTCTGCTATCCCAAAGGATAGTTTGGCAATTAGAGGGTGTCTGAGGGCGGGCAGAGCAGTGTTACCCCCACTTGGCTTTACTAACTCTGCTGAGTTTAATAGCTAATCCTGTAGCACTGCGAGAAATGGAAGTGTAATTAATTGTCTAGGCTGAAAATCTTCACCTCGTTTTATTTAGATTTCTCTTTTATTGCTCTTAATACAGCCAATTTCTGTTAAGGCATAACTGGTATCCGCTTCAAATCAGAGACTGAGAGGGCATGCAAGAGTGAACAACCTTCAATTCATCATCCTGCTCGTAAGGGCAAGAGGGTTGGTTCTTCCTCTTGTTAAGTACAAGGTGTCACTCACAGCTGGTACCTCCATGCTCGTCTCGGGAGTGTTTTATGGCACAGCCCGTTTTTATTGACATAATTAATTTGTGAACTCAGCCTTGAGGACCGGCCCCAGCCATACCCCGAGCCGGAGACAATCCTGGAGGGCTTTTTTTTCCTTCCTTTGGAATCGGGGCAAGTGAAAAGCTCCCGTTGTAGCTAATTAATGAGACGAGTTGTCGTTCTCCACGGGGGTTTTGTAGCCTAGAAAGTGGATTAGCAGCTGGGAGTTGGGTGTTTCCCAGAGCTTGGGCTGCTCGGCCTCCTGCCCAGCCCTGTGGAGCCACAGTCCTGGCAGAGCAGGCAAGGGAACAGGAGTTGGGGGGGAATGTGTTCTGGCAGCCAGAGTGTGCAAACAGCAGCAAAATCAAGATGGGAAATCAGGCTTTGCATGTAGACCCCCCCCTGTACACTCCAGAGTGGTGTTGCTGGTAGCTGTGGTAGCTTTGCTTCGGTGCTAAGGGGTACATGGAGGTCTGGGAGAGCCTTGAATGGGACCTGCCTGTCTTGGAAATTTCCATTAATGGAAGTTGGCTTTTTACAACTGATTAATGGTCTAGTAGGAATTTTAGCAAGAGCTTTTTTTTTGGGTGATCTTTGCTGTAGGGCACATCTGTGGGTTTGCACACGTTTGGCTTATTTGTTTGAACCTGAGTGATTCATTCCTTATTTCACTGAAAAAAAGGCCATAACTGTGCTGTGTTACCATGTCCCATTGCAGTAACCAGGATGTAAGTGTGCTCATACATGCTCCAGAGTTTTAAAGGAGCAGCTCAGGATTTTCCTCTGGGAATTTTAGCTCTTGCTGTGAAGAGGCAGGAAGGCATTTGGGATGCACATGACTGTGGTGGGCAGATGGCATTTCACTGACTCTTAACTTTCTTTTGCCTCTCTAGTTTGATGGAGAGAACATGTACATGGGGATGAATGACAACGCCCAGGAGTTTCTATCTGCCAATCAGGTAAGTGTTGGTTTGCTGGGGTGGGAGAGTGGTGAGATTTTTAGGGGAGTTAGGCTGTGCCCCAGCACAAATTCTAGGAGCTGTCTGTTAATCTTCTGCCCTGGGCCATCAGGAGTGTCTGTGGGAAAGGTCAGCCTGGCTGCTGCTGAGGAGCAGTGTTGGATGCTCTTGGTACAGGGAGTGGGATGCACTTGTGTGCCAGTGCTGCTGTGAGTCACCAGAGCCTGACTTAGCCACAGCTCTGCCACCAGAGAGGCTGAGAAGCTTTGCCTCACCATCCTTCACTCCAAATGAAGATGCAGTTGGTGTTTCTGGACACAGTGAAGCTTCCAAGTATTGTGTGTAGCTCAGGTGTCTCCTTCCCTCGTGTGGAGTATTTCCTGTAGCTAAATAGATTAACAGTTAGGGGAGAAAAAGGAATCAAAGGTTTCCTGTTTTGGAGCTATAAACCCACATGTGGAGGACCAGAATAGAAGGTGTCTTGCAGGTGCCTGAGCCTTCTCTGGTCTTGGATGCATATGGAACAGACATGTCCATTCACTGAAACCCTAAACACGTATGTGGGTTGGAACATGGTGATCTTTAAGGTCCCTTCCAACCCAAACCATTCTGTGATTCTATAAAGTTAAGCCCATGCTTATGTCCTGCTGAGAGGGAAGGACTTCAGCACGTGCCTACCTGTCCCCCTGACCAGGAGGTGAGAGCTGGTCCCATGTGCATCCCCTGTGTGGTGACCTGGCATGGGTAGAGCGTGCTGGGTACTCAGTGCACGTTCAGGGTGCTGGAAGCATCTCATCACATCCAGCCCTGTGAGGGAAGGTGAAAGGTCATTGCTAATACATTTCACCATCCCCTTTTTGGGTTGTGTTGGGCCATTTTTTTGTGGGGGCCTGTTGACCACAGTCACACCACTCTGTGTCCCTGAGGTCTGCTGTGGCAGTGCTGTGGGTTACCAGGCGAGTCATCCATGGTGAATCGACCTCCAGTAACAATGGGGATTAAACTATGGATATTACACTGGAAACAGGATGAAAACCTGTAGTTCACTTCCTTAGAGCCCAGCAGTGTGGTGTTGGCTCATTTCTTGGGAGAGTTGTTCCTACTCTGGCTGTGGAAGCAGGCACTCGAAGTCCCTGCTGCTGCAGAGTGGGGAGAGGTTGTTCTTGCGTGAGAGGCATTTCCAGGGTGGGGAAGGAACAGCAAACTTTGTGCTGTTGAGTGATTCAGCAGAAACAAATATGTAGTCAATCAACAACGGCGTGTGGTTGATCATTAGAGCCAGGAATTGCCAGAGGTTGAGTAAATACAGAAAGGAACAGGGTGAGCCCAAACTGTCCCAACCAGGGGTCAGCCCTGTCCCCCTCCCCAGGCTGAGCAGATCCTATGAGCAGGTGGTGGATGCTCATGGGGCACTTGTCTTAGACCCTCTGCTTTTAAAAACCCCCAAGGGACAACTATTTGACAGCCTCATCAGGAAGGGTCATCAGTGACCCTGGCCATGATGCCCCTGCAGGATCAGACTGGTCTTGGGCAGAACCATGGCCAGCATGAACCATTTGTGTTTCCTTTTTGGCCCCTGTCACATCCCACTTCCCCCATGGGTGGGCATAGGAGGGGAGTCAGAAGTGATGCTGCAGGTTTGGAATAGTTTGCTGAAGCACAGTTGAGGAGGAGAGTTGGCTTCCAAAGAAAAGCAAAGGTTGTCATGTGGTGGAGGATTCATGTACTGGGTTTGATCCTGGAGAAGGATCAACCAAACCAGCTTAGATCCCTGTAACCTGGGAAATAGGAGTTAATTCTTATTTGTTCTCTATTTACTTTGGAGTAGCAATTAAGGATGAAAAGGGAAGAAGTATCTTTCTCTTAGCTGAGGAGGGGCAGGTACCTCCTGCTACAGGGATAGTTGTGTGCATGGAGGATGTGTTGCTGCTTTTTCCATCAGCAAAAGCCCCATGGGAAGTGAGTTGGAAAATAGATGGGGAAGTTTGTCTTGCCTTGCATCTCCAGTTGTCCTCCCTGTGCTGGTTTTCTTGGGACAGTCAGAGAGGAGATGGGAGTGGGACCAAGGGGTGCAAGGGCAGAGGGTGGCACCTGGGGCTCTGTTGGGATGGGTGCCCCTGTGGGATGCTGCAGTGACCCCCTATAACCTTGTCTAGGGTTCCAGGAGGGTAGTGGGAGGGAAGGTGAGGATCCAGATCCTGCCCTGAGGTGTGTTAATGGTGGTTCACACCCAGCATGAGCTTTGGCCCAGGAGGATGGGGAGCAGCCTTCCTCCTCACCCTCACTAGCTCATCCTCTTCCTTTATTCACCTGCACATCAGGGCCTGTTTACCAGAGAGCACTTTATAGCCCCAGCCATGCCTTCAGTATAATAACACAACTCTGCTCTTTAAATGGGGGCTCCAGGTGGATTTTTATTGTTTGCTAAACCTGTTGTAACCCGAAGGAGTACATTAAACAGCAGGAGTGGGGTTTCACAATCCCTCTTCAAAGGCTGCTAAACCACCAGCCCTGCACAGCACACATGCACATGTGGGATCTGTGGGGACAAAGGCAAATCCTACAGACCCAATACTGGAACCATCACACTGGTGGGTTGGGTTCTTTTCCTCAGTCAAGATCCTGCAGCCCCCTGGCAGCAGCCTTATTTCAGCCCCTCATCTGGTTTTTGATCTTGAGGAGGTTCTGTTTAGCATGGAGGAGAGAAGACTCCAGGGAGTCCTTAGAATCTTAGAAGAGAACTTAGAACCCCTTCCAGTGCTTAAAGGGGCTCCAAGAGAACTGGAGAGGGGCTTGGGACAAGGGCCTGCAGTGACAGGACAAAGAGGGAATGGCTTCCCACTGACAGAGGAGAGGGTTGGATGGGATATTGGGTAGGAATCCTTCCCTGTGAGGGTGGGGAGGCCCTGGCACAGGTTGCCCAGAGAAGCTGGGGCTGCCCCATCCCTGGACATGTCCAAAGCCAGGCTGGGCAGGGCTTGGAGCAACCTGGGCTAGTGGAAGGTGTCCCTGGACAGGGGGTGGAATGGGATGAGCTTTAAGGTCCTTTCCAAAACAAAGCTTTCCAAGTTTCTCCAGTTTCTCATGGCAAGAATGTATTAAAGCTGGGATCAGGGTTCACTTGCCTCTCCTTCATTACCCCCTGCCCTGCAAAGCTACTAACCTGGGGGGAAGAAGAAAAAGCAAAACACCCCAAACCCCTCATAAACCCCAAACAAAGCACCATCCCAAACATGTGAAAGCAGGTGACCTGCTCCTTCCCCTCATCTTCCTCATTGGGATGGCTTTTGTGTTATGGCTGCAGTTCTTGTCATCCCAAAGGGGTTGGTCTCAGCTGAGGATGAAATGCAGAAATAAAGGAGCCAAAAAACATAATGAGAGTGCTGACTGATCCAGGCTTACACCAGAACAACCTGCTTGGGGAAAATAATTCCTCTTGTTCTAGCAAATAGGAGGGACATTTGACCCCAGAAGTGAGTCAAATGTGAAACGTAATTCAACCCCAACAGAGGCCAGAGTATAAATGCAACTTGACATCTGATCAAACCATCGCAGACATTTGACCCCCGAGATGAGTGAGGTATCTCTTGTGTCTCATGGAGTTGGCAGAGCGTCATTCCTCACCCCTGTCGATTTTCTTTCTTTCTTCCCCACTCCTCTCCCCAAAGAAAGACAAGGAACTAAGTAATGCAGAAAAATCCCAAGGAATGGACAGATTCCCAACCATAGGATGTGCTCTGAAAGATGAGTAAAAATGCGATGGTGCTGGTGAAAGAAATAAAAACACGCACAAAGTCAGTAGGAAAAGACATTTATTAAGGCCTTTTGTGATAAGGACAGTAACACTAGGAAAGGGAAAGATTGGGAAATTCCACGTGTCGTTGGACAGGAATGAGGTTGCTTTTATTTGGCATCAAGACTTTTGCACTTGCAGGAAGAGTCCACGGGGGCTTTATAAAAATGGATTAACTGCAGTTGGGAATACCCTGCAAGAAGGTATCATCCTTTCACATTCTGGGTGAATAAATGCAGGAGATGCCTTGCTGGGGAGCTGGGGGTGATGTGATGAGGGTGTGGGAACCACCGGACCCTGGCACAGCTTTGGGGACTGTTGTCCCTTGGCTTGTTGGGAGCAGGGATGTGACTCTACCCAGTCCATGGGGGGATATTTTGGAAAGCTTTTGGGGTGGTGTTTGTCATATTTTTCCTCTCTCCATGAATATCTCTGTCTGCTGGCAGGGCAGCGGGCAGCTTTGAAGGAGGAAAGAGCTGAGTATTTATCAGTGGACAGTTTGGATCCCGTGCTCTGACTAATCCCAGGAGCTTTCAGTGGGCAGCTTATTCCAGCTGAGCAATCTGCCTGTTTCTGTACCAACAAGTTAATTTGTGTGATTCCTCATGGAAAGGCTGTTAGACATCACTGTGGTTTGTTCAGGCCAGGGAGATGCATCGGCATAAACAGCTCTGGGCTTTCAACAGTCCTTATCAGTCCCTTCCAACCCAAACCACTCTGGAATTCTGGGACTGAAAAAGCAGGATTTCACCCAACCCTGGTGAGACACCTGATGCTGATGATGTCAGGTGTCTCACCTGGAGTGTGGAGCAGCAAGAAGGTCTTTAATTTGGGCTGTGGGCCTTAGGGCAAGACTGGGTAACTTGTGACTGGGACTGCTCACACTAAGAATGTAAATCCAAGGGCATAACCATGTTTGTGAGGGGCAGCACGTGTGTGAAATAGAAGGTGGGTTTTCTCTGGCTGTGTGTGAATCAGGGAGCCCCAGTGAGTGCAGGGGTTCTGCTGACACCCCGAGGGAGATGGAGCTGAGAAGGATGATGTTTGTAATGTGCACACACGTACACAGCCATCTGTCTTGATGTGCCCCTCTATAAATGTCAGTGTGGGGTTAGACACGCCTGCCCCTTTCCGCACTCGCGAAATCCGTCTGCGGATGTATCCGTGTGCTTGGATGTGTATAAATCAACATTTATCTACTGTATCT